GTGACCAGACGGACCACTAGGCGCAAGCTAAGAGTGAACTTAGGTGCTGACAAGGTATCCTGATGAACCTGAATTGTTCAGGAAACGGAAGATGTACCTGCTTTGACCAATTATCTCCAGTCTCCTCCAGCTGATCTACCCTACTAGTCCCAGGAACCTGGATGTCATTGAAACAATTACGGACAGTGCCTCTGCGTTAGTTTACGCCACTTGGCTCATTACGTGGCACACTTTCGTTAGCAATTGTTCTCTTATTCTCCTACTTCTTCGTGCTACAGTGGCACAGGTCAAAACACCACTGGTTAGATTAGATGATCTATCCTAGGTTCAGGTTAGGAACACAATTATAACCCTCAGTCCGAATGCTTTCGAATCCGCCTTACTTGTGGATGGTGTAGATATTCCGCAAAGTACCGGCCTACTTGTTCAGACAGCCATAAAGGAAGAGACTAGCCAAGCCAACAAAAGCGATTCATCCTAATAATAATTGCAGTCGCGCCGTTTGCGTTAACCAAACGAGTATTTGTTTGACACCACTAGGGATATAGCTACTGTTCTCAGTTGTTACTGCGGAACAGTATTTCCGGATGTGATAAAAGCATGCCAGTTTTCGTTCTGATCGGGTCTGTGTAGACAGCATTTTCACCCTCTGGCAGATGCTAAAGCGCCTTCATACGTACCACAGGCCGATAATGGCTGTATTCCTTGGTCTCTATTATTCGTTCTGTTCAACATCCGTACTCGGATAACTGCTCTTTACTCGAGCACCACGGGTCACGTATTGATCTCTGGTGAATTTTTGAACGATTTTTTCTACAACAAATGGCGTTTGCCAAGATTGTCTCACTTGCTAATTTTTGTTCAACTTCATCGCCTACCTCACATACAGTGTTTCTTTTCACAGGCGAGCTGTAGGCACAGATAGTGAAGTTAGTAGTTTTGAACAACAAATGGCATTGGATAACTTGCATTCATTTCGGCACCTGCTATGTGTGCCCAGTACTCGTATATCTGTAAGACCCTTGCCGTGTTGGCCCGATATCAAGTGACACAAGGTTTCAGGGAACAAAAGTTGACTAGCTGACGAATATGAATAGCTGTATACTCTTGATCCGTCTCGGCTTCTAGACAGGCGTCCACGCAGCCAACCCTTTGATTGACTCGAGATTTCACATACATGACTGGCACTCTGCACTGTGTGCTCGCTTTTATGACACTTCATAGTCAGATCGTCTGTCTAAAATGTGTGTGACACTGACTTTTGTGCCGTAAAGCTGATTTCGGCTTGTGGTGTTGACTGCCGCAAGGAAGCTGTCTAGCTGGTGCCGCCTTATCTCCGTACTAAAACCAGCTGTTTGTGGCCGTGTGTGTTGTTGACAAGGTGTTGGCACTTAGCTCCTAAATTTTTGCACGGACGGTTTAACTTTTACTCTGGACCACATTTTTCCTTTCATTTTTCTCATTCTGCTGGTCATCACCATTGCATGGCAGCGCAATATCAATCCCAGTTACCTCTTAACTGTGTTGATTATGATCTGGGTTTGGTACATCGCGATGAGGCTAACTCTTAAGGCGGAGCGTTGGTTTGCGTACTTCCGTCACCCATTGAGCTACGCCTGGGGATCTATACCTCTATTTGTGGGACTCTTGGAGATTAGATTTTAATGTATATATCAGGAGCTCCTCTCGTCCAGGCTGAAACACTTATGGCGTCGACATAGCATCCGTCTCTCCATTAATGGTCGCTTTTATTATGCAACTGTCCACGCTGCATAGTTGTGCGGCTGTGAGATCTGACGCGTTCGTGTCGTTGACCTGCGACGACTGTCCGCCTTCGGTGGAATGTGGTCAAATGGTGCAGTAATCCAGACCATTAGATTTCTTACACGAAACGAAATGAGAACATTATTTCCTTTAAATTTCTGTCTGTCCGAACGTTTTTCTAAACACTTCCCGATCGTAAGCAGCTTACAAACTAATGATATTTCATTCAAAACCAAAAGATTTCGTTAGACCACTCTCAGTAACTTATTGTTGTTCATCTTTCCAACACAAGTGCAACGGCACTGTCGGTCATTTTTGAACACAAAGTCGGAAGTGGGTTGGTTTATTTGGGGGGGGGGGATGTGTATAGCTAATTCCGGTGAAGTTTGCTTCCAATCATTTTAGGCTCTGTATTCTGCCTCGCCTACCGGCAAGTTTCGATTACTTATTAAAGTACCTTTGTTGCTTTGGTCTTATGTATAGTCTCGTTCCATTGAAGCTGACACTTTTGAGTAGCTTCATGTTAATTTTGATTTTTGCCCAAATCAGCGACTGTCTCACCGCCTGATCGTGGTGTCAGCAGCGTTACCTGCAACCAGCGCTTAGTACGGGCCGCACGTAAAACCACATTTGAGAATTGACGCAACTGTGAGGCACTTTCTTCCCTTCTAGAAGTCTATCGTGGTAGCGAGATCGAAGCGTGAACAACAGCATTCTTTCTCCGATTTCAACTTCATTTAGCTCTCGTTCCTTGTATTTTTTCATAAAGCTTTGGATCTTTTGAAATCGCCAAACCATGCGACCCTGACACCGGACGTGAAGGTCCAAGTTCGGGCCACCGGACTATTGTCAAACAGCTCACAGACTACGTGGTCGAAAACTTTTATCCCGAAGTACGTTTCACCGACTATCGTTCATACACTAATAAATCTGCCGTATTCCCCTACCTCACCATGCTTTTATAGATACCGCCCACTGCTGTAACGCGGGGACTTTTCCAGCTAGCTGTGATAACATCCATGAAAACAAGGTGAATCAGCGTTATTGTGGAAGAAAGTAGTGGTAAAATGATATAGGGGATTCCGAAAATGATTTTGTAGTTTTTTAACATTTTGTTGTTTCGGCAGTTGGTTTCTGATGAAAAACATCCCGGCGCCCTACTCAAGTGTTTGCTGAATCGTAACCACCTACCGTATGCCCGTCGACCGCCTTCTTCAGTGTACAATCTACGCCGTGGCTGTGCCACGTTGGGCAAAAGTTCGAAGTGACCAATCGATGTTGCGGCACATAGACCTGAAGTAATTGACTGAGAGACTTGTTCAGGCTCGTGCATGCCGTCTTTGTGGTCCACACCAATGGTTAGAGACCTTATTAGACATATCGCAGTTGCGCATTTAGTGGCGTTCTTGCATTCGGTTTCTTGCATCTAGCCGTTAATTTTCATTCCATCCCGATTAGTTTAATGCACTTCCCGCTTGATTCCATTTGTCTTTCCATTCCATTTGTATTCAATCTCATTTTCTTGCTGCTGTTGTTTATTTTTCTTCTGCTGTTTAACTGAAATGAACCGCTTATCATTTCCTCTTTTATCTCTGTTTCACTTGCTCGATCCAAGGGATTTAAGCGACAACACCGGTTCTAAGCACCATCATCCCGTTTGGCCACCCATTGGCTTCGCTTAAGGCGGTTGCAGTTGTCACGTGCAGCTTCGTTCGGCTTGTTTGCTCTCAAAATGTGCCTTTGCTCTACGATTCCTTTCTGTGAAATGACTAACACATGATGTGAACAGGGAATAAAATGTGCATACTATGTTTCCTAATTTTTTATCATAAGACAATCTTTTAGGCGTAGTGAACGCCATGTTCTAGTTGAGGTTTGTAAGGAAATAGCAGGTTAAATATTATAATTAGACATTCATCCCATCTTGCCCCAGTCAAACGGCCATCACACGCCCCGGTCGTTTCATCTTGCCGGAAATCCTCAGCAGTACGCATTTTATCTGGCCTTTATTGAGCCGCAGCAAAGTTTATTATTCACTCAAAGGGAAAGTATATCGATTTTAGCAGGTAACGAATGCAAGCTAAAACTGAGACATTTGTGAAAGCTTACAAAGTATGTAGCCCAGCCAACATCCCCCATGGCTCAGTGACTGGCTGGCATCTGCCTCCAGCAGTCGTGGGTTCGATCCTCAGTAGGGGGCCGAGGGAATGCACACCGCTAACGCGCCCCAGTAATACAAAACATGTCGGGCGCTTTTCCGGACTAGGTTGTGCTATGTAGCTTGTGAACTACTGGGATTAAAACCTTAACAAAAACCGTGAAAGCGTCAGATGGATAATACATATATATATATATATATATATATATATATATTTCTCAACAGTCTACGAATAGGCATAGAGCCATCAGAAATCATGGGACTCAAAAGGTACAGAAATAGTAACAGAAAACACAACAAAACGCATCAAAATCCATGATTTCGTCAGAGGGCGAGATACTATCCGGTTGCCCAAGTCGAAGTAGGATGTTGCCTTAGGGGACACCACCCCGAGCCTTTGGCTGAATAGCCTGCGCGCAAGGCAGCGGAGCGAATTCAGGTAATCGCGCCCATTGGGAGCCAGTGACTGGTTGCTCAGTTCGTACACTTTTCGTTTGTTTCTTTGTCCAACAGGGGCCCAATGCTCCCTAGAATTACGGCGTAAATTTGCTGGAATACAATGCTTCGTCGGGATGAAGCAAGGGGCAGTGACTTTATTTAGTGGCAAGTCACGTCCGCCTACTTCACAGTGTTGTTAAACGGACATATGTGGCTTTTTATATGGAGAACGCTTGCCAGGCGAAAACCCATCACTTCCTGGAACACTGCCGCCGAACAATTTGCTGGAGCGGGATAATCCCGAACCATCTAGCTGGCACCGCGTGTTGTTCGGGACGCCAGCACTAGAGGTCGGCTCGGATCGAAATGCACGAGATACAGGGAGGCGCTGAGCATTCCTTTTGTGTCTATGAAGGCCTTACTTTGAACTGGACGCCAAAGCCAGGGCCTGTCCTTGTGCAGCCGCTCCAACAAGGGTGCTAACACTGTTGAGGCGACGACATTGAGAAGACATCTCTAAAATGGTCAGTGTCCAGCTTCATTGTCACCAAACAAGTTAGCTAGAGGTGGGGACACCTCAGCCGCTGTCTCGCAACACTCAGAAAGTAAAGAAGACACGACACAGGCGCGCAAGCCGAGCCACCAGTAACGTATGGGCATCGTTCCGTAGAACTACCAGCCGGCTGTTGTGCCACAATAAAGTTACTTTATTTTTATGGAATGAGATCATGCGTAAAGGAGGAGACTGACCTATAGTGGGATGGACAAGGGAACTCACAACACAAATGCCATTAAAGTGGGATCCTAGCCATGTGAACAAGTGTAACCAGCCAGACGTGTTCATCTTCTTTCGGGCGCCAACCAGGGAGCTAAGCGGCTCCAACTGAGGGCCTTCATTCTTCTTGACCATGTCGTTGGTTGGTCTCCCTTCCTCCATCAACACCTCGGTCGTGCAAACAACGCGCGACGCAAGAGTCAGTGGCCTGGTATGCGTAACAGGTGGCTCAGCCGTCGGAGCCTGGTTCGTGAAATAACGGTGCTGAACAATACACTTCCTCTTCCTGTGCTACAGACAATGCGTCGAACGCGCTCATTCCTCTCGCGATGTTTCTACCACGATAATTGCTGACTCGGTGTTCCCACCAGATGTGAGCCAAACTGCGAAGGCACCGGTGGTCAAACGTAACTAGCCTCTTTATGTCAGCTGTTCTTATGGGCCAGGTTTGACAACCGTACAGCAGGGTCGGACGTATGACTGCACTGTACACTCTGCCCTTCAGGGTGAGAGTGATGTCGAGCCGGTGCCATAAGTGGCGAAGGCTAGCAAAAGCGCTCGAGCTTTTGCTATACGGTTCGTGACCTCGTGTTCAATTCCGACGGCGCTGATACAACTACGTAGCTAGTTGAACTTTTGAACGACTTCTAGCTGATTCCCACCAAAGGGTCAGCTTAGAAGGCAGTTCCTGCCATTCTTGGAGGAAAGCTTTGCGCTTTGAGGGTGCAACGCGAAGCCCAAAACGGGTGATAGCCTGTGCCAGGCTGTCTAGTGCTGCTTGGCAAGCCAGATTCCGTCGATGTCGAGGCTGCATCGATCACTTCTTCGCTTTGCGTCAATTGTTGATGCACCGTCTCATATGTTGGCAGTCCACCGCCGTCGTCTTCCTCGACATCAGTTACCTCCAGTTCAGTGAATCGATATGGTCTTTGGAACTGTTTGGTAAATAAAGATGCGCCCGAGAAGTATGTAACTATTGTGTGAGCGCTTTACGCGCGTAGCTCGGTAAGCTGTCGCCGTCCTACAATATCTCCAGCGGTGTAAGACAAGGATGGCCGTTGTCACTTCCACTTCTCTATTGAGGAAGTCATGGAGATCGCGTTTACAGGTCACGACTTAGGTGTGGAGTTACTCCCAGTTGAACGACTTTTTGACTTGGAGTACGCCGACGACTGCGCTCATCTGTGACAGCTCACAAAGGTACCATGCAGCACTTGACAGATTAACGCTGGCTGTCAGTGGTTTCGGGCTTTGCTTTCCATCCTCAAACTGCAAAGCTTTCCTTCAAGAATGGCAGGGACCGCCTTCTGCGCTGACTCTTGGTGGGGATCAGCTGGAAGTCCTTCAAAAGTTCAACTACCTACGTAGTTATATCAGCGCCGTTCACCTGGGAGTAACTCCACACCTGTCGTGACCTGTGAACGCGATCTCCATGACTTCTTCAATAGAGAAGTGGAAGTGACAATGATCATCCTAGTCTTACACCGCTAGAGATATTGTAGGACGGCGACAGCTTACCGTAAGCCCGCACCTTGGCCGAGCTACGCGCGTAAAGCGCTCGCACAATAGTTATAAACTTCTCGGGCACATCTTTATTTACCAAACAGTTCCAAAGACCATATCGATTCACTGAACCGGAGGCAAGTGATGTCGAGGAAGACGACGGCAGTGGACTGCCAACATATGTGACGGTGCTCCAACAGTTGACGCATAGTGAAGAAGTGATCGATGCAGCCTCGACCTCGACGAAATCTGGCATGCTTCTCACGAATCTGACTTTCACGAGTGCCAATCAATCTGTGAAGCATGACAGAGGCAAGTAACTTGGATGCGTTGGAGAGTAGACTGATTCCTCAATGGTTGCCGCATTCCAAATGGGGCACCTCTAAGTCATACCGCCATCCTTTGAGCATTATACAATAATGTCTCTGGCTGAGTGAGGGCTTACGGTAAGTTCTCTTCACCTCTCACCATCACTAATTTTGTACCACATGGATGTCCCATTCCCCGTTTCTCTTAGTTTTTTGCGATTGAGGACGTCTTATTTTACCGCTCTGGAAGGTATTAGGATTTTAGCTTAGTGTTTCTTCCAGACAACCGTTCAATTGACTTTGACTATGCTGATGATATTGTCTTGCCTGGTGACGACCTTCAGTAATATATTTGTCCTTCTAGTCCACTGTGTGATTGATGTTAAGTATGGGGTATGACCTTTTCCCCGCGAAATACGAACTTGTACGTCAGAATTGACATTTACCTTCCTCAGTAGTGAATCCTAAAGATAGGCAGCTTGCACAAGTGGATGGCTTCGTCTACTTGGTGAGCTGCATTTCTGATGATGGCACCATTGGAAGGAAGTTTTCTTATTTCCAAAGCCCAATCAGCTTCCGACAATTTGTGCCGTCGTCGTGACGTCTCACTCTTGGTAAAGAGCAGGGTCTGAAATGCCTGCGTTCATGTGGTACTCTTGTACGGAAGTGAGTCCTGACCGATTCGTGTGAATGATCTGCGTCTGAATTCGACATTTGACAACGCTTGTTTGTGGAAGATAGCTCTTATGTGATGGGAACATCAATTCTTCAGCGACGATGTTAAACGTCGTGCTTTCCTTTCGACTGGCTATACCATTGCAACAACTGGGACGGCTGGGTCACGTCCTACACATTCTGTGCGTGAGACTAACGGCGCGATTTCTTCCTTTATGCTGGGACGCACTGGCAGAAGTTGCGGCTTTGTCAGCCTACTACATGGTAACGAAACGCCAAGGCACTGACTTCCAGCTTAGTTGTCGTCGGTCCCGTACCTCTTCCGGGTTGGGGAGCCAAAGATGAAAGACACTGTTGGTCGGAAACCCTTGGAGGTAATGCACGGGATCAGGCCCCATGGAAGATTTGTATGAATCAATGCGTTAATTCTACTGATCAACACCGTTATCATTAAAGTGACAGCAAAAGATAAAGCGACTTGTGAAAGACACAAAAATGAGCAAGTGTATTCAAACGATTCTGAGGCCTCCGCGTCGCACTTGGTGGGCCATTGTGTTTGGTTTGTTAGTTGACAAAATAAATCACTGAGTGCCTTCTTCTTCGCCGTCAGACCATTCGGCCATGTTCTGCGGGTCGAACACCTGCTAGTTCTTTATGCTTAAAATTGTTTATTGAGGTTGGTGTCCACGTTCAAATGGGGTTTTTACATGCTACTATTTTGGTGCAAGAGCCGCTGTGCCAGTTTGTGACATTTGGTCTAATATCATGCACCATCTTTCCGGGTTAATTCTTGACGCGCTTCTGCTTTTGTTCCTTAAACTTTGTGCTATCCGGTTGTTTTCTCTCACGATGACCCACACTTCTCGCCATAAGGAGTAACTAACTGTTTTCGCACCAAAGTACTCAAAAAGTACTAACTAGCAGTCTTCCGAGTGTTTAGTTCTGAGGCTTTGTTTTGTTGATTTACTTCATTAGTGACCGAGTCTTTTTCTTCACAATCATTCGGTACTTACGTACTCTACTGGCTGCTTCTGACACGTCCAAAGAACCCATCACGGCAGCAAATTGCAGGATGTATGGCACTTGACTGACTGCCTACTTAGAGGCCATCATTTGTTGCCTCCTCATCGTGTGCCCCGTAATTTCATAATCCTTTTGCTTTTCCCTCCTGCTTCTTGCACATATCCCTGGCAGGCCAATTTACCGCACTTATTTTTCTTTCAGGTTTGGAACAACCGACGCTCGGGTGATCTGGTTTCTTACTACCTGCCTTTCTTCAAAGAGATTGTAAAACGCACAGCCTCATTGGTCGCATGTTGGCAGACTGTTGGATTTTGCCACGGGTACGTGGACAATGTTGTACAGTTTGCATTTCACCCTTCCGTGTTGACAGGACGGGCCGGTGGAGTACGCCTGTGTCGTGCGTTGTTGCACCATATGTTGACATGTGTTGTGTCCCCAAACTCACAATTCACGACTGTCACGCGCTAGTCGTACTACCTGCAACTAATTTATTACCCTGCTATTGCCTTCAAACTACGAAACCAGAACTTAAGACTTGTTACGATGGGTTGCGTATATCCGTGATGCATCAAGCTACGTTTATTCACGCTTTTCCCATTCATCCATGGTCACGCGCCCCCGGTGACCAGAGAGGTCATATAACTCCAATTTTGATACCCCATTAGCGATCTAGTTAACATCAGCAGTACACAGTCACATCTTACAGACGATTCGGAGCCATGCGACTTTGACCAGTTGCACGTGGGCTAGCTATGATGCGACGTCAGCCGCACCTACATTGTGGTTTAGTTAGGTTCCATGGCGTTCTTCACTCAAACAGGCGCAAGAAACGACAATTTATTGGTGGTAAAGCGTAGCGGGGAATTATTCTACTCCGCGAACTGGAATGCGCGCGGTAGATCAGAGCACGACGGGCATTCAAACTTAAAATTGTTCTACCGCCGATTTCCTCTTAACGGTAAAGGATATGAGCAATTTTATGCCGTAAGTGGCCACTAAACATCCCGTGAAACCGCATAAACCTGAAGATGCGGAACATTAAATGATTATTCCGTGTGAGCCTCCATAGTTTATGAAGCCCATGTAAGCAATGTGGTAGCCTGCTTACGAGCACAAAATGAAGGAAACTTGGTACTCAAGTAAATCTGGTGAGCAATGTTGCGCACACGCCCTGGCGTTCCATCCGAACCTCGAATAAGGTGCAAGAATGAGGTTGGAATGCAGAGAAGCCTTCCTATAGAGATTCAAGCGTATAACGATGTTAACGTTTTAAATCTTGTATGTCATCCGTGCGCAGGGGCCATCGCAATCTTCTCTGTGCCGTTCCAATTTTAGTACATGTACCGCCGGAGCGAGTGCAAAAGGTGGCGCACCCAGTACTCGGACCCCGGTCGCACGGGTGGCAATCCGGCACACAGACCACTAGGCTACATTCAGGCTAGCCGTGCCCCTTATAAGTTAACTGAAAAACAGTCCGTCAAAGCAACGATTGCAAAAATCAAAGAGTTCCTCACACTTCTTAGTTTTTATAGATTACCAAAGCT